CTCTCGATCGTGGGTTCTGAACCTCTGGCCGTGGAGACGCATTTATGGCCTGGATAGCTGGTGAACCAACATCTCAAGCTATCAGAATTCTTGTGAGAATGTCCACGTCTAATCACTCTGATCTTCATCACCAAATCCTGACTTCAGTCACTTCCCACCTTTCCTCATGCATTAAATGCTACTTTGTGGCCAATGTGTTCGCTGCATTAAACAGGCACTACTTCATTAAATGAAGCCTAGGACCCTGCTGTCACGTGATGATTTGCCTTTAATGCCTTGGCCGCAATTTTGTTCGGCCTCGGCCTCGGCCTACGCTTGAGGCCGAGATGATCATGCCTTAGCATTTCTTCTTTTATTTTTAAGGAAGGCGAAATGCCCTGGCGAAACGCTGCGTTTCAGCCTCTGCGAACAAGTGCCAGGGCCGAGAGAAAGGGCTCTTTCGGCCAGCTCATGGCCGTGATCTATCAGGCACAAACAGTAGAATACCGGATGTTGGTGTGGGTATGCCTCGATACCTCATTGAGTGACTAGGTATTCCTGGAATCGGTCAGACGATACACCAAACGTGCATTTAGTTGGATTCAACTTCATACAATAGGCCGAATGCCTCGGCGAGGTTCTTGATGTGGTATGCACGCTTGGGGGCTTTAACTAGCATGTTGTCTACATAGACTTCCATAGTTTTGCCGATTTGCTCCTTGAAAATTTTATTAACAAGCCTTTGGTAGGTTACTTCAGCGTTCTTCAGCCCAAAGGGCAAACTCTCAATTTGCCCTTTTCTTGTTTCGGCACCAGAACAACGTTGGCTAGCCACTCTAAGTATGAGACTTCTTCGATGAAGCCAGCAGCTAAGAGCTTATCGATATGGGCTTCAATGCTTGCGACTCGCTCGGGAGCAAAGTTGCGTTTCTTCTGGCCACTAGCTTGTTGGCGAGGTTGACGTGGAGCCGGTGGCAGATGATGTTCGAGTCGATACCAGGCATGTCAAATGGCGACCATGCGAACATGTCCTTGTTGTTCTGGAGGAAGGTGGTCAGCTCCACCTTTTCGTTTGGGCTTAGGCTTGAGCCGATCCGCGCTTTTCTATTTGGCTGGCCAGGATCGAGGGGTACTAACTCAACATCGTCATCATTCTTCCAACCTTCTTTAGGGGAGCCTTCCTGGCGGATTCCTTCGTCTCAATCCTTCTGATTTAGGTTCAAGAGTGAGTCGATCAGCGCTTCCTTGTCTGACGGGCCAGGATCAGGGGTATTAACTCAACAGCAGCCTCAGGCTTCCAACCCTTTTCAAGGGAGTCTTTTGAGCGAATTCCCTAGCCTTGATCTTGGCTCCTTAATTCCTATTGTGAGGTAGCAACTCCAGTCCCTTTCGGGCTTACTTGTCTGCCAGGAGTGCGTCCTGCCTCATTGGCAGCTTGCATCATTGGTGTGAACTGCAACTGCTTGCTCTTCTTGAGCATTTGGGCTGTGCATCTCCTTGCTATAGCCCAGGGATGGGGTAGCAGATCTTTTGGTGTAGAGCAAATGTGACAGCTTTGATCTAGCTGATCCATGGTTGGCCCAAGATTCTGTTGTAGGGGGAGATCTCCTTGATAACCATGAAGGTCTGCTAGCAGACCACCGGGGGTGAGTGGATGTCAAGGTCAATCATTCCTATTGTGATCGATGTGGCCCCATTGCAGTCGGTGAGCAATCTGGCAATTTTTTGATCTTGGGCTCCAATCCCATATGTTGGATAACATATAGTTGTAGGATGTTGGTTGTGCTGCCCGCAGGGCTGGTGGCTCGAGTTGGTGTCTTTGGTGCCTCGAGAGCCGCTGGTTAACTTCCTCCTCATGTTCCAAGGGCCGATCCACTTGGTTGTTCGGCATGTGAGGCTGATTAGGAGATTGAGCTTGTGAGGATTCCTCTACGGCTTGTCGTCGTGTGTTGGTTCTTGAGCAGGTTGGTGAGCGTCGGTCATTGCATTCGTCAAGCGATTGTTCACGAACTCTAACTCCTTGTGGGCCCAACCTAGAATGGATACTTCCTTGTGGGCCTAATTGAGCGTGGACATTGGACTATTGTTGTTAATTTATGTTAACTCGCAATTGTACGGGGCAATTAGTAGTATAGCAAGACAAGTACGAGGTCGTACCCACGAAGACTGAGAAGTTAAAACTAGTTATGTACTTAGATTACCAAATTCAAGAAAGTAGGAGGTTATGTCTAAAACAGAATTTAAAGCAAGAGTGGTTGTGATTGTTGAACAAAAGAAGCAAAATGAAAATTCAAACAAAAGCAAAGTAAGTAAGTGTAACAAAGAGTGGTTTTAAGAGCTGGAAAACAAATTTGGAGACTAGGGCATTCGAATCACCATAACAATTCAATTATGGGTTATAAGGCGTCAAGTAACAAGTCTAATTCATATTCAAAGATTGATTCTAGCTAAAGTATGATTAAGCCATGGTGTGTGGTCATAACCTTGTGTTCCTAATTCCCTAATTTGATCATCT